ATATATGAATGTTTATATCTAAGAAAAGGCCCTGTGCTTTGGGAAAAGGGTCTCAGTTGCATTTGTAGAAGTTGCAGCAGCGGTGGTCCATGGAAACTGGGCAGAGTAGGAGTCAGATCACAGAATTCCCAGCACTCACGGGCTGAAAGGAGCTTTTTCCTCCGCTCGGTTGAGGCGGAGGCTCTGGTGTGTCCGTGCACCACACAGCAGCTGTTCCTGCTTTTGGAGCAATCCCAGAGATCCCTAGGCCATCTGCCTACTGGGATGAGGACCTGGTGGCTCTCCAGGTAATTAGAAGCAAGGGCTTAGCCCTCTTGGCCCTACTCCTCCCTCAGGTGCTGAGTTGTTCCCTTTCCCTCCATGTGGCACTATAGGATCAACACAGGACTTTGAATCACAAGGCTGGCAGTTCAAACCCACTGGCTTCTCCTCTGAAAATCTAGACAGGGTCGCTATTAGTCGCAATTGACTTGATGGCACTTAACAACAACCACACTTGGAGCCCTGGTGGCACGGTGGATTATGCATTGGGTTGCTAACACACAGTTGGTGGTTCAAATCCACCAGCTGCTCTGCTGGAGAAAGATGAACTTCCTGTAGAGATTTACAGCTTCAGAAACCCTAGACAGGGTCGCTACAGGTTGGAAGTGATTCGATGGCAAACAACAACAACAATGCAAACTCCAAGAGCAACTCAGGACAATCCAGAGAGGGCACAGAACCCATGAGTTTCCCTGAAGAGACTAGGAGGGGGCTGTACCCTCTAGCTACATTCCTACCTAAAGTTCTCAACCAAATAAAACACAGTTGTCAAGTTGATTCGGATCCACACAGACCCCATAAGACAGAGCAGACCTGCTCCACACAAGTTCCAAGTTGCCATCTTTATGGCAGCGGACTGCCACATCTTCCTCCCATGGAACAGCTGGGAGGGAGGGGTCAAATCACCACCACCAGGGTTCCTTCCTCAGTCTCTATTGTTGTTGTTAGGTGCCATAAAGACAGACGGCAACGACTCAGCAACCTTATGCACAACAGCACGAAACACTGCCTGATCCTGGGCCAACCTCACTATTGTTGCCACGCTTGTGCCCATTGATGCTGCCACACTGCCAATCCATCTCGCTGGGGGTCTTCCTCTTTTTACCTGACTCTCCGCCTTACCAAACATGATATCCTTCTTCTCTAGGACCTCTGAAATTCCATGGATAGAAGGTTCAGCAGACCAGAATACTGCAGTTAGTAAAGTGGTCAAAACCCTTCATTCCTCACACAAGCAGACATGTAAGCTTGCTGGCAACCACACATTGGTCTATTGGTGAGTGAAAGAGGGGGAAAGGCAGCAATGAAAATATGGGCTGAGTCTGACCATGTTTCATAGGCTCCTGTAGACCTGGAGATGAGAGAGAGAAGAGGAAAGGCTGGTTGGTCCAAAGTGTGGTGAGATCTGAGGACTCCTAAGTCCATGGACAAGGACCTAGTCACAGAGGGCTCAAGGTAAGAATGAAGCAACCAGCTGATATGAAGTGTGGGGACAAGAGCACCCAAACTTGCAGATAGAACTCATTTGACCTAGCTTTGATGGCTTGATGATCAGAACTTGAATAGAAGAAGATAAAGAAATTTGACAAATTTGACCTATACTTATGGATGTTGTTGTTGTTGTGAAGTGCCGTTGAGTCGATTCCAACCCATAGTGACCCTGTATGGGGTTTCCAAGGAGTAACTGGTGAGCTTGAACCGACCTTGCAGTTCAAATGGCTTTGCAGTCTGACACATTAGCATATGTTGTTGTTGTTAAGTGCCTTCGAGTCGGTTCCAACCCATAGTGACCCTGTACAGGGTTTCCGAGGGTGTAAATCCTTACGGGAGTAGAAAGCCTCATCTTTCTCCCGCGGAGCAGCTGGTAGTTTCGAACCACTGACCTAAAGGTTCGCAGCCTGATTCGTAACCACTGAGAGGGAAGTCTTCAAATCAAGGATCAATCCTATCCCCTTTGTACACAGGGTTGATAGGGATGGGCAACTTAGACATTGGCTACCTAAAATGGGAGGCTATAAAGGCATGACGTGGCTGGCTTACAAGTTTTCAAGAGGAAGTTTAGTTTCAGAGTGTGGGGGAAGGTAGAATCCCCATTGGATAGTTTCCATCTTGTCTAGACAGGTCTGGTGAAAGACGGGGATAAGATTCTTATGATTCTATAGTTAGTAACTGTTATCATGACTAATTGAGACTGTCACAACTATAAAGATAGAAGTTTTGTAACATAAAGGGGGGAGTAGTTAGTCTTACATTCCAGGAACAGAGGACCCTAGGACCATCAAGGGAGAAGAGCATGAGCAGAATGTGGGACTCTATCCAGAGAAGCAGCAACATCAGAGATGGAGGCAGAGATGGGGACATGGAGAGAGAGAGCAGCTGAGGACTCCAGACTCATGGAAAGAGAAAGACTGAGTGCTGGTGGCTAGGAGGTAGGCTTACAGATTGTATCCTTGGGTTGTTTAAATGATTATATATATATGAGTATATATTCCTGAGTGTTTTTGTGTACATATGTATATATAGAATTCTAAAAAAGAAAAAAAAAGTACATAATTTGGAAATTGTTAAAAACAAAACCAAAAACCACCTTTTGTTCCTGGATAAGACAGATCCATTGTGCTTCCCTCTTCTCTTTGAAAACCCTTTATTTACCTCCAGTTGCACCCTAAAGACCTCCGTTTTCCTGAAGACATCAACCCCACCTCATGCCCTTCGTCCTCAGATGACCGAACTTCTCTTTTTATTAAGAAACTAGAAGCAGTCTGATGTGAGATTCTTCATCTCTCCTCTTCATTTTATGAGTCACCTCTGGTTTCATCCTTTTCTCCTTTGTCTTTTTCCAGAGGACTGACATGTATCCTTCTTCTGTAAATTAACCCCTCCTGGGGTTTCTGACCACACCTCTTCTTAGGTTTAGATGTCGGTCTCCCATCTGGCCTAGAATAGTCTGTCTCTCCTCTTCCTTCTCCATTGGATTTCTCAGAAGACCTACACACAGCAGCTCTTCTTGTTCCATAGTCTGCCATCCCTTGTCTGGAACCACTTTGCCCTTAGACCTCCCCAGCAGCACCGACTACTCCTATCACCACCGACACCCCTGGATGTTCTCAGCTCCCCTGACTGGGATTCTCCTCCCAGAATCCTTTCCTGCTTCCCTAGCCTCTTTTCCTGTTCTTCTTCCTCTACAATAAATGCAAGAATTCCTTACGATACTATCCTTCATCTTCTCTCCTCCTTCCATATTTCCAGTGATCTTTGTTATCACTATACCGTAGGATAAGCACTGGACCACAAGCTTGGTTTGAACTGCAAGGTCGGTGGTTCGAACCCATCAGCTGATCTTTGGAAACCATATACAGGGTCGCTATCAGTTGGAACTGACTTGATGGCACTTATCACCACTAACAAAACAACATCGCTATAGTAGATACTATTAGGAGCTATAAGGAGCTCTGGTAGCGTAGTGGTTACGACTCGGGCTGTGAACCACAAGGTCAGCAGTTCGAAACTACCAGCTGCTCCGCGGGAGAAAGATGAGGCTTTCTACTCCCGTAAAGATTTACACCCTCGGAAACCCTGTACAGGGTCGCTATGGGTCGGTTCCGACTCCACGGCACATAACAACAACAACAACAAATTAGGAAAATGGCATCAGAATCTATTTCTCAAATCCTTGCCTCTTTCAAAATGATTTGCAAAATCTATTACCCCTTTTTCCCCACCCTCACAAACTATGCCCACTTTGCCCCATTCTAGGTGCCAGAAATTCTTAAGCAGCATCATCTGAAGTTAACCATTGGATGTTATTTGTCCATTGTTGTTGTTGTTATTAAGCTGTCAAGTCAGTTCCAACTCATAGAAACCCTATCAGACCCAACTTGACGGCACCTACTACAACAACAACAATACAGTCACGGTACCAGAAAGAAATGGTTGATGTTCAACCATTTCAAGAGGTAGATATGGTACTGAAGTTACAAGTCCAAGCTGCACTGGTGATATTGGTAAAGACCAAGGCTCCGGGAACTGATGGAATACAAGTGGAAATCTTTCACCAAACTGATGCAGCACTGGAGGTGCTCACTCATCTATGCCAAGGAATTTGGAAGACAGCTACCTGGCCAACTGATTGGAAGAAATCCGTATTTATGCCCACTCCAAAGAGAGTTGCCCTGACCCAATGGAATGCAGAAATTATTAAACAAAATCATTAAACTGCAGAGGTGGTTTTTCCTTAATTTGGAAGGGAGAAGAGGTTCACCATAGACATTTTTGGCCTTCTTCCTCTTCTCATTTCAAAATCTGAAACCTTGCTCAGTTAAAAATTATGCCCAATCTGTTACCCATTTAAGCAAAAGCAAAAGCCTCCAATGGCTCTCTGATGCCCCCCTCTGGCATGCATTACTGTGCATGAAATACAAAGGCTTTTCCTTGCAGAGGGGCACCACGTTGATGTTACTGAATGCCATTGAGTCAGTTCTGAATGACAGCCATGCTGGATAGGGTGTCTGAGGAACAGCTGGTTGGTTTGAATCCCTGACCTTGTGGTTTGTAACCAGTGCTTATCCTACAGTGCCACACCAGGACTTGGGGACCCCGTTAGCTGGACAGATGTCTGGGCGTTTTGACGAGAGCTGTGGGTATCCTCAGGCATTCAAATTCCCGAGGTGGATGTCGTGAATTTGTCTCATTGTCATAGGAAGCAAACTTTGGTGGGGGTGGGGACCTCAATAAGGCAAGAGTGGAAAGTCAGCCCAGTGGTAAGGGATAAGCAGGGAGAAGCAGGCCCTGATGGATGCATGAAACAGGCGGGAAAGAATGGGGCACGAAAGGGAAGAAGAGGGCCTAGCAGCTATGGTGGTGGTGACTTAAAGTCAGTTCTGTCTCCTCTTGACCCTGTATAGAGTTTCCGAGGCTGTAAATCTTAGTGGTATTTGGGTAACTTTGCCCTTAACCAGTTTTCAGCACAAGTGCGAAGTATTGCCAATAACCCCAACGTGGTGCCACTGGGGCAGACGTGGTCCTTACCAGGATCCTGGCAGAAGGGCACATGCGTCGAATGCCCCAGATGCCTCTGCAATGAACTTGCACCGTGCGCAAGCAGCATGGGAAAAGAGAAGCAAGAGCGGCGCACACAAAAGCAGAACTTCTCAAACACGTAAGCCCGCCTTTTTTGTTTGTTTTTTTAAATCTAGCAGAACTGCCCGTGCAGCTTAACCTCTAACCTTAGACTGTGAGCATGAGGTTTTGCTATCTATGGCAAAAGGTCTCCCTTGCAGGTTTTTTTTTTTAAGTTTTGACTGAATTGAGTGATGGTTTACATGGGAGAACATCAGTTTTACACTCATCGTTGTTTCATTGCAGTGATTACAATCCTGGTGCATCATCATTCAACAGTATTTGCTTCTATTCCCTCTGTGTTTTTTCCTTGGGGGGTAGGGGTGGGGCTGGGATGTACAGAAAAACACTGAGGAATATATAATAATTTACACCACCAAAGGACACATTCTGCAAGCCTGCCTCCTGGCCGCCAGCTCTCAGTCCCTCTCTTCCCTTGAATCTAGAGTCCTCAGCTGCTCTCTCTCCATGTCCCCACCTCTGCCTCCGTCCCTGGTGTCGCTGCTTCTCTGGATAGGGTCCTATATTCCGCTTCTGCTGTTCTCCCTTGATGGTCCTAGGGTCCTTTGTTCCTGGACTGTAAGATTAACTACTCCCCCTTTTTGTTACAGAACTTTACAGTTGTGGCAGTTGCAATTAGTCATGATAACAATTACTCATGATTGAATCAGAAGACTCTTATCCCCATCTCCTTTCACCTGCAGGTATTCCCCACTAAGTCTAATCAACTTCTTTAAAGCTGTGGTTCATGATTTTCCCATCTTCTGTAGCCCGGCGCATTATCAGTTTGCTGGCCACTCCAGTGGGGCAGTTGGAGCTAAATCTTTGGAGAACCCCAGTAGGGAACTGGGCCAGTTGCCAGTGAGTAGTAAGCAGCTGTGGAAACCCTGTTTCAATGACTCACTGCTGGCCTCACCCTCCCTGTCAGGGCATGCCCTGAGGACTGTTCTTGTCTAGGAATGTGAATCTTTTCATCTTCTATCTTTTTGCTGTCTGCCTCTTCGTGTGTTCACAGAGCTCTGTAGTCTCTTGACTACTTGTTCTTAGGACACCTTAGACTCTATGCTTCTGAGTACTTCTTTCCTACATTTGCTTTGTCTTCAAAGTTGCCATGAGTGTTCGAGTTGCCCGGCTGGTCGACTGGAAGACTTGATTCCTAAGTGAGGGGTTTAATTCCCTAAGAATGAGGAACAGGCACAGGATTGATCACTCTATTAAGGTCCTGTCCCTAGGCACTCCAACGGGTGGAGACTTACCTCAGTGAAGGTTTCAAGTCTCCAAGAGCTGCAGGTGATCTCTGTGAGAGTTAGAGTCCCTAAAACCCACTGGAAGCCTTCTGTCTGTCTTATCAATTCTATTTCAAGAACTCTGCTTTCTCTCCTATCTGTCAGCCTTGGTTTCCGGGGCTATCCCAGCAAACTTTGATCTCTTTCTGCTCATCAGTGGGGTCCTAGACCCTGTTCTGGACTCCTGGTGTGGCACAGCAGGTTAATGCACTGGACTGAAAGGCCAGCAGTTCAAGCACACCAGCCGCTCCTCAGGAACCCTATTCAGGGTGGCTACGAGTTGGAACAGACTCGATGGCACTTAACAACAGACCCTGTTCTGATGTATCATTTGACCATCGACTCTTCACCTGGTCTCTGCTCGTCAATCTCTACACGTTTGGTTCATTCAGGCCTTTGGAGCCAGTTCGAGCCCAAACATTCTCTTTATTGGTTTCCAAGAGCGTTTCTCTTCCACACTCACACGTGAGAACAATGAACATTACTTTGGCCCCTAGTAATTCTTTCTTCCTTGAATTCAACAGGCAGACTTCAAATTTATTTTTCTCTCTTATATGAAAATCTTCTTGGGCCCATTGTGGATGGTAGTTAACCTTTGGACTGTCATCTTGTCCTCTGTCGGGTGGGCACTGTGGATTGGGCCCTCTCTGGCCCTTGGATCCCTTCTGTCCTATCCTTCCCCCAGTATAGTTCAAAACCCTACTGGTTTCTAGGACGACTTGTTTTTCATGCTCACAAGTTCCAGGTGAGTGAGGACTATTTTGATCCCTTTGTGATCCACCTCTGAGTCAGATTAGCCTTTGCTAAAGGAAGGCAAGGTCTTCCTAAAGCAAGATGCTATGGAAGTTTTAGATAGAACCCCACTAATGACCGTGAGGTGGTGCCACCAGGGCAGACCTGGTCCTTGAACCAGGATGCTGGCAGAAGGACACATGCATGGAGGACCCTTTAAGTTTCCACAGCCGACTCCACAATGGATGCCTGATGCATGTGAAGCACGGGGGAAAGAGAAAATGAGGAAGCCGTGCACCAAAGTGGAACCACACACACAGGGAAGACCACCCAAAAATAATCTGGCAGAACTTCCTCTGCAGCTTCACTTCTCACTAGAAATGCTATAAAGACAAGCGCAGTGGCTCCACAGGATAAGCCACCAAGGTCCATGGTTCGAGCTCGCCAGCTGCTCCACGGGAGAAAGATGAGGCTTCTGCTTCCATGAAGATTTAAAGTCTCAGAAACCTTATACAGGATCACTGTGGGTTGGCACCAACTTGAAAGCACTTAACAATAACAACAATACACCTTAGACTGTGAGCATAGGAAAGCTCTGCTGTCTATGTCTCGTCGCCCTGCGGGTATTTCTCCCAACTCTGATGAACTCTGTCGTACTGTATTTCTGACTTCCTAGTCTTCTGTAGCCTGACCCAGTCAGTATCCGTGGAATCAGAAAATCTCATCTTTCTCCCACGGAGCAGCTGGTACATTTGAACTGCTGACCTTTCAGTTTGTAGCCCCACTCATACCTCACTAAGCTTCCAGGGCTCCTTAGCAGCTGCAGGAATTGGGAAAGCACCCCCAGATGGTCTCCCCACCCGGACACTGTTTCGGTGTGTGTCTTTTGGTTGTGCTACCTACCCAGGTCTGAAAGGAAAACACTTGAACTACAGGGTCACCAAGGTTTCCTTCAAAAGGCCAAGGCCTTCGGAAATGCAATCAAGCATCAAAGGCAAGCCTGACGAGCAAACAAAGCGGCTGCGTGGTTAATCCTCTTTCATTTATACCTAAAACACTGGCATTGACAATGAGGTCATCATTGCTCCCGGTTCTCTGGGAGCGAAGTCATAAAAAGTCCTCAGTGAGTGAGAACCCTGACTGATTTGGTTTCACTGGTTGAAAGTGAGAAGGAACACAAGAGATGGTGTGTTTTGGGTTGTAGGTTGTTTGTGCCTTGTGATCCTTTGTATCGCTGAGTACTCAGAATGGACATAAATTGAGGTCATATAGACCTCAGGCTCTCCTTACCACACTCATGGTCAGTGATCTTATTTCTCATCCATTCTTCCACAGGACCAGGGATGGAGACACTGAACTGAAGATTCAAATTAGGGGCGTGTGCTTGGGGCTCCCAGAAAGTTGCCTGGACTTGCATTATGAGCAGCTCTATGGTCCAACAAGCCTAAGAAAGGGCTTCATGACTCTCATGTTTCCAGGGTTCAGCATGCTGAGACCACTGACCTGGTGGAGTTCTGGGTCCAGTCCTACTTACAGGAACACAAGTGCTTCTCACAAAACAAAATAAAACCACTAAAAACTTCTGAAGGAAAGAGCAACAGTTTAGTATTGTGTGTGTGTGTGTGGTAAATAATACAACTTAGAACAAAATTATTTAGAAACAGCTAACAAAACTTACTGAAAAGTAAAACACATTGAAAACTTTATTGTATCACCTTGTCTAAATTTGCATCAATTTGATACATTTCTGCTCATTCTGCAGAACAGTTACATAATTTCTTTAACTCTTCCCAATCCATCTGCTCTAAAGCTTGTAATGCTCATTTCCGCTGGTCTCCTGCCTTCCCAGGGCATACTCTGTCTGTACTTGTCCCTACTTAGTGATTCGACCCTGATCAATGCGCCAGGTCTCCGGACAAGCCTGCTTCCAGAGGGGCTGGCTGCCTGTGAACATTGAAGCAGATTAGTTCTTCAGCTGGGACCGAAGTCCGGTGAAAGCACAGGTAAAATGATAATTCTTCTCATCTAGGGGTTGGGCCACTTTGAGCCAGCTACTGAGCACTCTGGTTAGGCCCCCGTGTTGCTCCAGGAAGCCCACTCTTCTCTGCTTGCTCTTTGTTCCATTTCTGCCTCCCTCAGCTGCGTAGGTTAACTCTGGATATTGTGAGCACAATTAACAATCTCAATTAAGTTTCATGGGCTCTTCTAGAACCTCACATTGGTGCTTCATTACTACTGTAATTTTAAAAATGGAAGTAAGGAGGAGCAGGGACAAATTCTCTGGCTTGGAGTGGGTTGGGACAAGATGGATGGAGTAGGATTCGGTTTCCTGCTTGTCCCTTTATCACTGAGGCCTGGCTAAGGCTGCACGTAGCAGATGGGCACTGCTGAGCTTGTGACGTGGGTCTACTGAACAGCCACTGGGGCTTAAAAAACTTTCTGAGAGAAAAAAATAGTGATTAATAGTAGTCCATACTGTGTAGTCTGTCATGTTCTTTCTGAAATGACATTATCCCCTTCCCTTTTAAGATGACCGTGGTCAGTGTTATGGTGGGCAATGCATGATGGTATAACAGAATGCTATTGTAACGGCTGTCATTTCCCATCTGGAGTGCTAGTTAGCTGCTTGCAGAAATCTGCAATTCCAATGCACTTGAAACACATTAGGAATGAGGGATGGTTCTTCAAACTAAGGAAAATACCCAATAGAAAAATAAAGATAGAAAATACATGCTAATTTAATGGCAAACTTAGTTGTGATGCTAAGACTTCAACTGGACAGTGCGTGGTCCTCCTGGGCTGCTTCACAGCAGGGTCACGTCCTCTGTCCCTCCGCAGCGTGTGGCTTGTCCCTGTCCTGGGGCCTGAGGACCGTCAGTGCTGCAGCAGGAAGTTGGTAGCCACATTAAGGTCATTGTTGGATGCTCTCAGGGCTTCCAGAGCATCACCTCTGGAAAATCCCATCTCCATGAGCCGGGCGACCTGGAAGCAGGAGCCAAAACAACAACGTGATGACGTGGAGACGACTGCTACCCAGCTGCCAGCCCCAGAGGAGCTCTTCAGCTCACCTGGGGAGAGCGAAAACCTATCTTACAAAGACGCACTTCTGTGTGAAGCTTGCTGTTTAAAAAACAAAAGCAGATCACATCTGGAAGGGCTTACTATACAATCAACATGCACATACGATCTAATTACGACAGAGGAGGAAACGGGGCTTGAGAGAAGGTCTGCAGGACAGCCCCACCCTCCACCACCTGTCCCCCTTCTTCAGTGTGGAGTCAGATTCCAGGGGACCATGCTGTCAGCCACACGTGGACATCTGCACGTTGCAAGTTCTAGCTTCGCTGCTGGCAGACAAAGATGATGAAAATACACTTTACGTTCTTAGCACCACATGGCCTGAGAACATCTTTTGGGTGCTCTTATCTCTTTAACAGCTGCAGCATTTGCTAAGATCCTGTCTGTCAAGGAGGCTCTGCCCCCCAGTCTGGGGCTTCTGCAGGTGGGAGTGGCCGTGTGCAAATATGGGGCTATGCCAGAGGCAGCAACCAAGGAGGAAAAGAGGTAGCTAAACCCGCAAGTATAGGGAAGACCAAGCTTGAATTTTTTTGACCACAAATCCAGAATCTGTAAATATAGAGGTTTCCTGTACTTCTAGACAGACAGTACTCCAACAGGCAGTATTTTTAACAACTGGCAAGATTTTTGCAATTGTGTGAATTAAGGAGGCTTTTGTGAACTGGTCTGAAGACTGAAATCACCATTTCTGTCTAATTGTTGTTTCCTATGGAAAAGGACATACTTGGTACTGGGTAGGGAAAAGAGAGCAGGCCCGATGTGGCCTCCCCCTCCTCTGCCTCGTGTAGTGGAGGGCCTTCAATGAGTGGCAGGGCTTGTCAGGAAGAGGAAGAAGGTATGGTGTGAGGAGAAGAAGGGATCTGATTGGATGAGTTGAGTTGCTTCACAAGGTCTCGTCAGGCCCAGACACCCACATTCTCTTCCCTCAAAGCACTTTAGGGAAAGGCTAACCCCACTGAGAGGAGACAGGAACATTCAGGCAACACTTCTCAGAAAGCGGTGTTTTCTCACACTGAGCTGTGTGATCTGAATCAGCAGTGGGCCATCAACCATAAATGGCCTAGGAGTTGGATTAAACATACACACAAACACACATACGAAGAGTATCCTGTCCACGACACTGGATTTCAGTTTGATATATTTACACATCTGCATATGTTCTTGTTGTCAAGTGCTGTCGAGTCAGTCCTAACCCTTAGCGACTCAATATAGGGTTTCCAAGGAGCAACTAGTGAGTTTGAACCATTGACCTTGTGGTTCACACCAACCTTACAGTCCTGTGCTTATCCTACAGCACCACACCAGGTGAGCTGTAATTCTTTTTTTAACACTTTACTGTTTTTGGTGGAAGTTTACATAGTACATTAGTTTCCTACTCAGTAGTTGAGACACAATGTGTTTGGTGGCATTGGTGGCTCTCCCCACAATGTGTCAGCACTCTCTCCATCTCCACCCTGCCTTCCCCATTTCTGTCCCCTCAGTTTCTGCACTCCTCCTTGTCTTTACATCTCTGCTTGTTTGGTCTCCTGTAGATAACTGTTCCAGTGAGCACATTCCCGGGGGGGGGGGTGTTATTGTATATTTTATGGGCCTGGCTATGATTTGGCTGAGAGATGGCTTCTGGGAGTAACTTCAGTATCTTAAGGCCATAGTTTCAGGGGTTCCTTCAATCTCCATCAGCCCAGTAAATCTGACCTTTTTAAAATATGAATTTGAGTTTTTTTCTACATTTTCTTTCCATTCTTAAGAGGAACTTTTGTTGTGTCTCTAGCCAGGCACCATCTAGTTCTTCTGGTCTCAGCCTAGAGGAGGGGGTGGTTGGGGTGGCTCCCCAAGCCTCTGGACTAACTGCTTCTTTGAGTCTTTGGTTCCTTCACTCTCCTTCACTGCAGGCAGGAAGACACCAATTGTTTATCTTAGACATCTGCCCATAAGCTTTTAAAACCCTACTCACTACTCAGCAACCAGGCTATCGAACATTATCTTTATGAATAACGTTTACCAACTGACCTAGGTGTCCCCCTGAGGCTATGGTCCTTAGCCTTCAAGGCCAGTAACTCAGTCCCAGCAAGTCATTTGGCTATGTCTAAGAAGTTTCTGTAACTGTGCCCTCTATGTGCTCTACTATGGTGGTGGTGTTTATGTACTGTGGAGTAGGTTCTAACTCATAGCGACTCTGGACAGGGTAGATCTTCATGGGAGCACAAAGTCTCATCTTTCTCCTGTGGAGTGGCTGATAGATTAGAACTGCTGACCATGAGATTAGCAACCTAATGCCTAACCCACTATGCTACTAGAGCTCTTTGTGTTCTGTTCTATATCTAGATACACATATATGCGAATATATATGCAACAATACCAACATGCATATACAAATGTCCACAGCTCTACCTCTACATGCATGCACATGTACTCCTGTAGAGTCTTGTTGCCGTTCTTAAGCGCCGTCGAGTTGATTCCGATTCATAGCGACTCTGTTGCAGAGTTTCCAAGGAGCGGCAGGTGAGCTTGAAATGCTGACCTTGCAGTTGAAACTGACCTTGCAGTCCAGCGTATTAACCCACAGCACCACACCAGGACTCCCAACATCATGGTGTTGTTGTTAAGTTCTGTCAAATCAGTTCCGACCCACAGTGACCTTGTATAGGATTTCTGAGGAGCAGCTGGTGAGCTTGAACCACTGACCTTGAGGTTCAAACTGACCTTGCCGTCCAGCGCATTAACCCACAATGCCACACCAGGACTCCAATAACATGGTTGTTGCTAAGTGCTGTCGAGTTGGTTCCAACCCATAGCAACTCTGTATACGGTTTCTGGTAGTGCATGCTAATATTCCTCAGCTGGTTATTAACATCCCTGCATAGGTCATGGAGTGAGATACAGGGTTTCCAAAGCTGTAAAAATCTTTGTTGGAGCAGAAAGCCTCATCTTTCCCCCATGGGACGGCTGATAGATTTGAACTGCTGACCTTACGGTTAACAATCCAATGTGTAGCTCTACTTTCTTTCCTTCAGTTACCCATGAACATGACATCAAGGACACAAACCACGTTGGCCCCTCTTAAGCCCTTTAAAAAGCATGGAAAAGGCTAACTTTATTCTCCTTCACATTTGTTCATCTTTAGTGTCTCAGGCATAGCTCTGGGCTGGCTTCGTCTTTGTGTCTGGCCAGCAGGAAGAAGTCTATTTGCTGTCCATAGTTAGTAGTTTAGGAGTTTGAAAGCTCATGATTCATAATCTGGAGCTGATGAAGTACAAACCTAGACTCAGTGCTGCTATCTGGTAGAATAGTTAGACTACAACTTCCATCTGGTACTTAGCTCTTCTTCCACTAACTATGAATTTGGTTTGTAGTGCACAAGATGCTGCTGATGGGCTGTTTACATACAAGCAACCAAGGCAGAAGTGGTACATGAATTGCAGTGAAGAGCCCAGGGCCTGCAGCACTTCTCTGATCCCTTAGACCCTGGATAGCTGGGCCACATCTCAGCTCTAACAGAAGTCATATTCCAGTTTGAGAACAAACTTTCTCTGTAGGAGGAGCTTTTTATCAGGGCTCTTGTTTGCCCTCTTTCAAACACGAACAACTCCATGGTACTACATGGCTTTGATAACCGAGCCAGGCTTTTCAGAGTTCTTTGTTGAAGACAGTGTTTGGCTTTTATCATTTTTTTTTTTTCAGTTGGTAATCATGCTTCTTTAGCCAAATCTGGTTCCAGAGCTCTTTGCATTTTTTTAGGGGTGAGAAGACAAGCATGATTAGATACATTTCACTGTTCATTGACCTACTTTTATCAGATAAAAACCCTGCTAAGTAGAAACAGTGTTAACACAATTCTTCAAAATAATAATAATAATAATAATAATAATAATAAATAATTACACTGAGAATTGGTTGCCTAGGGTTCTAAACTGTAAACACCCAAAGTAAAATTGCCTGCGTTTCTTGCAACTCACTGGTTGTATCAGTTTGGATAATAATCAACCACAGAGAAATCAAGAGATCCGAGTTTCCATCCTCAGTGGAAGGGTGAACTGGATACTGTAAGAATTGCAAGTCAGCTGTGTGGTCCCTGTTGCTCTGGGTCGTTTTGAAGGTTCACTGGAGTAATAAACGAGCATCACAGACAACAGAGATCGATGGCTGTCTTTAGTGGATACTATAAAAATGATTGCTTTTCACTTTAATATTTATCTGCTCACCAGAGAAGTCCAACTTTTCCAATTTAAGTGTGTTTAGTTCGTGCCACTGGGATGAAAGGCATACATCACGAAGTCCTATATTCAAATGGTTGTTGTTGTTAAGTACCCTCTAGTAGGTTCTGACTCATAGTGACCCTGTATAGGGTTTCTGTGGAGCAGTTGGTGAGTTTCAACCACTGATCTTGTGGTTCAAACCAACCTTACAGGTAAAACTGAGGCTTGCACTAATGTGTAGTCAGCTAAGCAACACAGAGATAGGATACCAGAAGCTCACAATTCTTCAAATAAAAAAGCAAGGAGAGGCTGGAAGCTATGTTTGATCTGACTGAGGTACAGGCAAATGATCACAACCATCTTTGAAGAAAGGCGAGAGAGAAAAAAAACTTAGAAATGCTGTATAACATGGTTGTGCGGTTGGTGTGGCTAGACTGTAAAATGGTTGAAATGGCAAATGTTTTGTTGTATATATATTGCTACCAAAAAAAAAAATAATAATAAGGAAATTTTCCCACAGACTTTTTGAAGTCCCCTCTTTGAAGGTGTTCAATATACACTGCCTCTTAAGATAATTGTTGTTGTTGTTATGTGCCATGGACTCAGTTCCATCATGGCTGTAAATCTTTACGGGTGCAGAAAGCCTCATCTTTCTCCCGCGGAAAGGCTGGTAGTTTCGAACTGCTGACCGTGGGGTTAGTAACCTGA